ATGACATTAACTAAATATTAAAACCAATTATATATATATATATATATATATATATATATATATATATATATATCTTAATTGCAAATGTATTTGAATTGTTATTACAAATTTATATTTTAATTTGTATTACGTTTTATATATAAACTAATTTAGGAAAAAACAATTAAGAATTTAAAGCCCAATTGAATGTATATTTTTTTTTTTTGTTAAACTAAGATATTTTTGTTAATATATATATATATATATATATATATATATATATATAAAGTAATTGTTGATGTGGTAGTGGGGACCACTTTTGAAAGATGAGTGTTATTGCACTGATGCGGGTAGTCATTGCAAAACTGATGTTGCACAATTGAAAGATTAGTAGCATTGCACTGATGTGGATGACCTTACCATCAAGGATGTAAACTTCAATGCAATATTTTTTTAACAAGTAAACTTCAAAGTATGTTTTCATTAGCAATCGGAAAACGTATTAGCAAAACCAATGGACTAATTGAATTCAAAACTACATCAAACACAATAAAAAAAAAATGATCCACCAACCAATCATCCCATGCCCACCATCAAGATCAAATAAACCAGCAAGCCAAACTCCATTCCTCTGTTGACACTGCAAGTAGTTAAAATCATGTGGGGTCAGTATATATTCAACCATTAGTTTATCTTATCTAATAAATCTAGCAAAATATTAAGTACTCCTTAATCACTTTCAATTTGAGAAACATCAAATTTGCAAAATTTACTTTAGCATTTATACAATGATCTTTCTGGAATGACGATTTAGAAAGATGTATCAACAATATAATTGCAAGTTACAGTAAAATTATGTTGGAGACTAATGAATGTGAAGAAAGATACACATACCGATGATTAAACTAATAGCTTGAACTCATGGGATTGTTAAACCCAATCAACCAATCTTCATTAATTTTCGATGAAAATCTTCATCTGATAGGAAGGAAATATATATTTTTCAACTCAATCAACAAATCTTTATTTTTCAAACACCTCAAGTCTCTCTCAAGCATTTCATCAAACATGTGGTGGGCAAATATGTAATGGTAGACTATATGAACAACTATCTTCATGTTAACCACCAATTCACCTTCAATTTCAATTTCATTCTATCCTTAAAACTCCAAAGAGAAACTGAGACACTACATTAAACATTAAAATGGGTTTTACAACAAATTGCAACATGATTTAGCATAAATTTCAGAAACTAAAAAAATAACCTATTTTCAGGAGATCCTCTGGTTCGATGGTTCGACAAGGTAGCAATAGCGCCAACCTGGAGATGTTCGACGACAAGAGGAGACGAGGCTGAAGAAAATCGGTGGTGAAAGGAGTCTTCGATTGTGAGGAGCTAGCGATGGATGTCGGCAACGACTGTAGACGTCGACGACAGGACTGTTGTGGACGACCAACGGTCTGGATGGCAATGACAACGAGAGGAGGAAGACAAACGATGAAGGACATATGGTTGAATGGTGAGAAAGAAGGGGGCGTTGATATGTCGAGAGAAATAAGATACGTATGTTTTTTTTTTTTGTTGAATAAAGTTTGCAGACCTCGGAAGACTCAAGGCCAAGTCTGTGTCATGAAGAGCTCGCCTAAATGTTTCTATGTCTGCATACTTTCGAAAAACAAACACACTGCAAGCCCTTATGTCTGCGCGTGGTCTGCACGGTGCAGATAAAAGAGGTCACGCAGATATGCAGACAAAAAACAAACAACCCCTTAGTATACCAGCATAAGTCTATGTACCTTTTTCCCAATAACTTTTTACACATGTAATTACTTTTTTTATCTTTAAATAATTATAAAAAATTATAGACAAAACTGCAAAAATTGTCCATATGGTATTTATTTTTTCTTAGGTTTAGTCAAAACCTCGATTTTTTTTGCTTTCTCGATCATTTTGAGCTAGTTTAGTTGCAGATTTGGCCCCTCAGTAAACTGAAATGACTTTAATACCCTTAAGGTATTTATTTTCTATTTTTCTTTCATTTTTTAGAATCTAATATCTTTTTTTATCTATTTAAACAATAAAAAAATAAGAGGGTCCACCTCTCTCTCTCTCTCTCTCTCTGTCTCTCTCTCCATCCACCGTCTTCCCTAATCTGGAAGAAGATACCCAAATTCAAAAAACTTTCTCATTCCACCATTTTTATTATCTTTCATCATTACCATAATAATACAGACACAGAACAAGAGAACACACAAATTAGTGAAGAGAAACACGCCTACTAAAAATGGCAGCCCCTTCCTCTTACTCTAAGTTCAATCATTGGTCTCGTTCTCTCAAGATCAGTTGTAACTCCTTATTTCTTCTGCATCAACATCGCAAGTCGATGCTCAAGATGATGATGATTGGTGGCGTGAAGGTGAAATAGTGATGTCCGATGATGATGGTAATTTTGTCATCCGATTCAATTAATGAAGGTTGAAGATGTTGGTGACTATGACGGTTCAAAGATGAATCTACGGTGGGGCTGATGTGTTTCTGTCACACCCCCAAACCGGAACGGCGGAAACATTCGGGGGCGGAGGACGTCATGTTTAGTATCACAAGACATGCATCATAGTAATCAAAGTAATAAACAACCAGTGTATTATAATTAAAGTGTTTACAAAGTATGTGTTGCACATAAGATAGATTACAAATTAAATGACAAAACAAGACATGAAGCTACTATGCTCCATCTTCTGAATCCCAGCACGTGTACCTGTCTACTAGTTAC